TGACCATCCAGTGGATTTTCAGAGGCAGTTAACCACATGGAAGAGAGTGCCCATCCTTCTCCGAAGGAGCAGCTGGTGGCCTTGAACCATGGGACTTTGGGATTGCAGCACAGCTTCTTGCCTCTAGGCCACCAGATGGTGGCTTTGTGGTAAGGAAATTGTACTGTCAACTTAAAGGTAGGCACTTTGAGTCCACCAGCTGTTCCGTGGAACAAAAAGGAGCCCTCTCTTCCCATGTGATTTCCTTCCCCTGAAAAACCACTGTAGAGTCAACTATAGGTTGTTCTGACTCAACAGTACACAATGACAGCAACATGATCGTATTAGGGAGGATAGATAGATAGATAGATAGATAGATAGATAGATAGATAGATAGATAGATAAACAGACATAATTAAAGAAATACCATTGACAATGGCAACTCAGAAGGAAATTATGCAGTTCTAAACCAAGAAAGGACTTTGGTGAAAATAAAAACTGTCTCTCATTGTTGGATTCAAAAGCTTGTTTAAGCACTTTTCTCTTTGCTGCTTTTGTTAAGTGCCATTGAATTGCCTTTCACTCTTAGAGACTGCATGAATAATGTTTCTGAACCTTGCCCTGTCCTGAGCCAATTCCGTCATCTCTAACGTCTGTGACACGTTGCCACAGTCATTGTGTTATTTCATCTCATCCAAGGTCTTTCTCTCTGGTGCTGATCCTCCTCCAAGCATGGTGTCCTTCTCCAAGGACTGTTCCTTCCTGACAACATGCCTGAAATACATGCATACTGTGGAATTTAGAAATCCTTGCCTCCAAGGAGCAATCTGGTTTAACCCTCTGCAGGACAAACTTGTTTGTTCTCCTTAGTAGATGCAAAATACCCTTCTCTTTAATAGACACAGCAGTAACAAAACACCAAGCAGTTCTTGCCAATTTGTAAATTCAAGGACTGCAACACTAGCACGTTTGTAAAAATGGAATGAAATAGACAAAAATGTATCTGAAGATTTACTTTCTTCTAAAAGTTTATTTCAAATTGTTGTTATATGTGCTGTTGAATCAGAGCTAATTCATAGCTGACCCTACAGTGTAATTTTCAGAAGTTATCAATTGTACAGGAGGAGATTGCCATCTGTATCCTGAGGAGCTCCATGGTGGATTCCAGCCACATGATTTTGGGTTGACAATGCTACGCTTGTTGTTGTTGTTGTTGTTATGTGCCGTCGAGTCGTTTATGACTCATAGTGACCCTATGTACAACAGCCCTAAACACTGCCTCTGACACACCCATCCCGATTATCCCAGACAATGAATCAATCCATCTCATAGAGGGCCTTCCCCTCTTGCACCGGCTCTCCACCCTCCCAAGCATGATGTCCCTCTCCAAGGACCTGTCCCTCCTGGCAACATGCCCAAAGTATGTCAGAAGAAGCCCCAGAATTCTTGCCTCCAAAAAGTAGCTTGGTTTAACCCTTTCCAAGATGAATCTGTTTGATTTCTTGGCAGTCCATGGTACATTCAACACTCTTCTCCAGCACCACAGCTCAAAGGCATCAATTCTCCTTCTGTCCTCCCTAGTCATTGTCCAAC